TGACAGGTATAACTTTCATTTTGGGTAATGAAAATGTTCTAATCTTGATTGTGGTCATGGCCACATAACTCTGAATATACTAAAACTATTGAAATGCACACTTTAATGGGTAAATTGTTTGGTATGTAAATTATGCCTCAGTAAATCTGTTAAAAAATAAATTCAAAATGCATGTGGTTATTACTCCCCCAAATGTCAATCCTTGGAATGAGATACTTCTGAGGTCCTTTGAAGTATATCTCAGGACTCCCTCACATGTATTCTTCATTTTGAAACCAGTATCTATAATGTCTCTCTTTCAGACAGTCTTCAAAAACCTGCTCTTATCTTCCCTTCTGGAAAACTCACACTTTTTCTTTTTGTCTAGCCAGAGTTTTCTCAAGCCTTTTTCTAGGTAATTTATTCAATAATAGTTTCTCCCTTCTTTGAAATCCTGTTGTAAACATGACTGTACCACCCTGCTTTACCTCATGCTTTCTGTAATTTTTTTTTCAACTGCATAGGTCTCATCTCCTCATGTAAATTTTAAAACTTAATGAGAGCAGGGACCAGGCATTTTAATGTTTATATTTCTTTTACACCAGATAGCTAGTCTGGAGCTAGGCACTTATTAGAGATTGGCAAGGACTCCTTGATGGATTGTTATATATCAATATTTGCTAGGAAATTATGATTGCAGAGTGATTTATAGACTTAAACACCAACCTGCTCTTTAATTACAGAAAACAAGTCACTTCTAGATTTTTCAAAAGCTGATAATTAAGACACCTCATATATATTAATAGATGGACCAAGGATCATTTTTCAAACCCTCTCTCCAGATTCTTTCTGCAGCCTGTGAAGAGCTGTTTTTGGAAACTGCATTAGAAACGAAGAAGGAAAGTCTTGGTTGGGAGGAACAGGATCGGCTTTCTGCCTCGTGCCTGGCAGAGGCTGTGGCTGCCCGCCATGTGAAGCTTTAAATCAAACTGAATTTGTGGTGTCTAAGCAGCTTCTGGAACTACAGAGGGTTCTTCCATAGCAGGTCACACAGAGCTAAAAGAATTGAATGTGGTGGCATTTACCCATTGCAGCAAGAAAATGAAGAAAGCAAAAGTCAATGTAAACCATGAAGATAGTAAATTTCCAATTTTTTCTTGGTTAGGTACATGTCTGGTTCATAAATGTAAAGGGATTCGGATTCTAGGAACTCTCTTCTACCAACCCAACTTTGAGCCCTTCCTTCACTCATATGGGAGCCAGAATAGATTAAGCCAAACCAATATTAAATGTCAATAAATGTTAATTACAAATATTTTTGGAATAGCCAATAATAATCTACCTTTGAAAAATGAGATGTTTATGTTTAATAACATCCCTTTGCATCTGCATAGTGCTATTTACTTTTCAAATCACTTTAACCCATTTTAACTTCACAAAATGTTAGGGTAAGTATGGTACTTATTTTGCCCAATTTAAAAGTGAGTCAAATTAAGATATCTTTGAGTTAATGACTTTGGAGGGACCCAGCTTGAGCCTGCAAGTGGGAGGCTTTTGCTTAGAAACCAGTCTTCTCTGAACACAGTCATCTTTTCCAATTTTATGTTCAGTGCCAGTAAACCAGAGGGGCCTTCCCTGCATTTATACTCAGGTGTCTAAAAAGAAGAAGAGAATTACTTATGGTTCCCCTATTTTCCATCTGAGATATTTCATGTTTTCAGATATATGTATTTAAGAACCTACCCCAGAACTTAACTGCAGGATCGCCACCACATACAGGCATGATTTGCTCTTTCTTTGGCCAAAGGCAGGAGGAGACAGAAAAGAGAAGTCAGCAGGGTGCCCACTTTAGCCATCCAGGAGGTAGCTAGTTGTTAGGGAGAATGTAACTCTCCAAAGAAACAGGAGGTGCACCGTCTCAGGAAAGAATCCTCGCCACTCAGCCCTTTTGTGAAGAACACCTGTTCCTGGCTATTCAAGGCTCTTTGTAGCTTCATTTGAGAAAGCAAAAAAAAAAAAAACAGAACTAGGAGAAAATGTAACATAGCTCCCATGAGGGCAGAAAGCAGGAGGACAAATGGGGAACAGTGCCTGGAGAAATCAGGGTCATGGGAGGGTTAGCATCATTGGGCGATTTAGGGTGCAGGCATGTGACTGCATTGGACGAAAGCCAGGAAAAGCAGAGAATAAGCTTCTCACTGATGTTTGGGCATAGAAGGCCACTAAACATCTTCAGTTTACTGTATCTCAAAAGGCAACCATCTCCCACGTCCCTTTACCTCATTACTGTCAAAACTCTACCTCTAACACAAAACCTATACTCCTGCAGATTTTTTCACTTCATGTCATGGTGCAAAAATCCAATGGATGTTCATAAATTCAGTTTAGAACATGGAACCCAGCGTTTCATCCTTTTGGCCACAAAATCACGTTGGCTTTATTTAGCAAAGCCTAGTGACATGTTAATATTTCTTTTTGCTGAGTGAATTCCTCACTTCTTTTCTTTCCCATCTGATATTCACATCAAGAGCCACTTTTTGTGTTTTCATGTTGAAGGTCCCGCCTACCCATACACCCAACCAGGACTCTCCTTGCCCACCAGAGACCCGTATGAGCTGCATAACCATCTGTAGTCTTTGCATGGCTGCTTTCTGCCCAAATCAAGCCAATTCAGCAAAGAATACTGTCTTTATTTCAGGCTCCTCAAAGAGCATCTTGGAGAAAAAGAAGTTGAGTTGGCACTCATCTTTGATTCAGTGGTGGAAGCTGACCTGGCGAATTATACCTGCCATGTAGAAAACCGAAATGGACGGAAACATGCCAGTGTCCTGCTGCGTAAAAAGGGTATTTATGGTTTGTTTGGCTACCAATAACTATTGAAGTTAGATATATTTCCTGGCCTGATTTTATCATTTAGCATGAACTTCTATTAACCAATTTGTCTTTTTAAGGAAAAATCTCTCTCTTGCTGTGCATATTAGCATGAAATACCTATGACCTTCAATACCATTAGTAAGTGGAGAAATGAAATGAATTATCATTATGTGTTAAATCCAGTGAGATAAAGTGTACCTTGGTTATAAGTTGTTACATAAAATTTGATTCATGTTGACATTCAATATTTTCTCCATATTTTGCCTTTTTATATCTTATATTGCTTAAATGAAATGCAAGAGATTTTATTACTGGATGAGAAATGAAGTTGCATTTTTATTCCCTGACTAAAAAATAAATAAAAATAATTAATAGTACCATATAATATTCTTATAGTTGTTATCATAAAAATTATAAACTATATTTTATAATATTACCTGGTGGTACGAGGCCTTTACCAGGTGCATATATTTCTAAATAACTTGGTATTTATGGAGATTTCTCTCTAGAATTGGTTCCAGATGAGGTGGAAATTGTATATAACGGACAAAGTAAAGAAACTTTAAATTTATAGTTAAAGGGCATAAAAACAGACATAGGAACAACAGTCTCAGCAGCTAGGGTAGCTTCTGAATTGGCTTTTACCTTGCTGTGACTCTTGATTACTGCAAAAGGCTAAATACTTCTGTATGTGTGCATCTGGCAAAGGTTTTGTCAATGTAGCAGAGCAAATGTTCTCAATCAGGGTTCGTGTTGCCTAGGCTATGCAGCAATAAGAACAGATTCACTCAGCAAGGGCACTAGAAGAAGCAGGGAAGCTCCATTATTCTGAGAATAATGCTTTGATCTCTCTAGCACCACTTCTTATGTTATTGGACTTGATTTTGTCTTAAAATAGAAGAGTATTTAAGTATAAAAGAGTCTAATACAGAAAGGGAAGTCTAGAGACCCAGGTTGACAGCCACCTTGATCGGTAGCACTAACTTGTCAGATGAGACTCCCTGAACCTTAGTTTCTTCATCTGTAAAATAGGGGTAATAACATTTACCTTGCAGAGTCACTTTGAGGTTCAAATGACAATGATATAATGGATGTGAAATATACCACGCCCCAGCAGTGTTTGTTATTACATAGAACTTGGATAATTTTTTCCTATGCAGTATGTAATTACTTAGTCAACTTACATGAAAAGCAGGCATTGATCATGTCCAAATACCTTATGGAAAGGATCACTTTGTTCCTTTCCATCTTAGTCTTATTGCAGTCTCAGAGATTCTCCAACCCAAAGCTTGATGCTATACCTCTTTATCCTCAGCAACCTGGACGGTGTCTAGCCACTAATAGGCACTTGGAATCCATTCTGGTCAAATGGATGATTAAAGTTCTCTTTTATTGTTGAAGACTCAGGTGCAGCAAGCCCTGTGCTAGGTGCTGAGTAATAGAGTGCCACATACGATAAACATCCCCAAGTCCTCTTGGAGCTTATAGTCTTTGGAGAGGTGAGAACATAAAGAAAGACAAACATTAAACAAAAAAAAAAATGACACAAGAGAGAGTATTACAATTAAAAACCTCCTGTGAGGGAAATAATGGAAGTCTTATCATTCATCCAGTGTAGACAGAAATAACCTTATTTGAGTTTTAAAATAAATCCGTTTCTCTTTAATATGTAAAACAACAACCAGCAGCCCTTAAAATTCTAAAAATCTCACTCTAAAAAACCAAGATACACTATAAAACTCTGCTGCCTCCCATGGCTTCTATAAGGAAACCTGTCCAAATCATGAATAACTAATGATATTAATTCTCATCTTCCTGATATTTAAATATTGGAGTTCCCCAGGGTTCAGGTCTCCTCTTCTCACTCACTCCCTTGGCGATTTCATTCAGGCTTCATCTCCTGGTTTTGCTTACTATTCACATGCTGACAACTCCTAAATGTATGTCTCCAGCCTGGACTTCTCACCTGAACTCCAGACTTGTATACTCAATTGCCTATTCAACAACTCCACTTAGAGATTTAGTAGGCATATCAAGCTTAGCTTGTCCCAAACAGGATTTCTAATTTCTCCTCTCTGTGAACCTGATCCTGCAGTCCCCTTCTTCATTCATCTCCATCACCATCCTTCCTGTTGTTCAGGCCAAAAATTGTCTACTTTTTCTTTTCTCTACTCACATCCTATATCTAGTCCACCAGCAAATCCTATGGCTCTACTATCAAATCCTACCCAGACTCTGAGCACTTCCCCCACCTCACTGCCCCCACCCTCATCTGAGCCACCAGCACCCACTGCCTGGATCACAGCAAGAGCCTCCTAACTGGTCTCCCTGCTTCCACGCTGGTCCCCTCACAGTCTATTCTTATCACAACAGCCAGAAGGATCATTTAAATATGAAAGTCAGATCGTGTTATTCCCCTGATCAGAACCCTCTGATCACAGATCCCTCCCTGTTACACTTAGAATGAAATCCCAAATCCTTACTGTGTCCTATAAGGCACTACACAGTCTGTTCTTACTTCTGACATCATTTTCTGCTACCATCTACCTGAAACATTATACACACTAGCCTCCTTCCTACTTCCCATGCTCCTCAAGCACCTGCCTCAGGTCCTCTGTATTTGCTGTTTCCTCTGCCTGGAACACTCTCCCCCCGGCTGTCTGCATGACTCCCTTCCCCTCCTCCTACAGGTTTCTGCTTAAGTATTACCCACTCATAGGCCTTCCCTGGCTACCTTATATAAAATAGTATTACCCTTCATTTCCTTTTTTCTCTAACCTGGTTCTATTTCTTTTTATTGTATCTATTATTATTTGATTACATTACGTATTTCTTTGCTTCTTGTCTTCTTCCCCCCACGAGAGGACCAGCACAATGGGGTAAGGGATGGCTAACAGGGATTGGTAAAAAGACGATTTGATCTGTGATTTTTGTCTTGACTAATGTCTGTCCTGGGTTACCTAAACATATTGTATCTTTTCAAAGATTCTTACTTTCCCACAGTTGAAAACTCAAAAGACCTCAGGGCTCAGGCAGATATAGAATTTTTTTTTTTTAAAGAGGGGTGGATATTAGAAAAAACAAAACTCAGACCTGAGAAAACATGCCTTACTTTAAGGAGGCAGCAACTACTCTGTTCTAGAACATTATTGCTGTGCTTGCTGGAATGTGGGTCCAGGGATATGAGAGCCTCAGAATTTTCAAGTGAAGCTGGAAGACTGGGTATGAAATCTTTTGATTTTTAAATATTAGTATTCAGTTTTTGAAACATTGTATAATCCAACAAAACCATTTTTTTTTTTTTTGGCCTATGGTATACAAGTTTGCACTCACTGTTCTACGTAGCCTTAAAGTTTTTCACTATGCTTTGCAAAAGGATGCAGTTAATCTTCCATCAATTGGTCTCTTTAGGAACTCTCAACAATATGGTGGAATCCCAAAAAAGAGCAAGAATCCCTGTGGCTCTGCCCTAAATTTTTAGGTCAGACCAAGCTGCAGCTTATTTTGAGAAACTTCAGATATTTTCTTTGGAGTTGGACCATTTAGGCTTTATCACAGCATAGCCTGGCCTCAGTGGTGGTAGTGTTCCCACCTGGAATATGAGTATGGATTGTTTCATGGAACAATAACTTCTTGATGAGCTGTAAGTCAAATATTTAAAGTGCCCTAAGTGATCGTTATGGAGAAGAAATGGGATGAATCCTTTCATAAAGTGAAAAGGCCTCTTAAAAATGAAAACTCACATCTAATATACCCAATTAACAAGATCAGGTTTTGTAAAAGCAAGACACCCCTTACCTATGCATCTTCCACCTGCACCTACCACTTCCTTATTCTCTGATGAACTATTTGCCAGTGTGTACGACTAGCATTTCAGTAAGAGGTCCATACTAACTTTTTTCTTTGGTGAGCCAAGAGTCTGAACTCAGGCTAAAGAAATTATGATAATTATTTCTGCTTCTCAGCACACACTCACTTTCTCACAAAACAGAGTCATGTCACTGAATCTCTCTCTTCATTCCCAGTGCTGCTGCTCCACCCTGACATCCCAAACATATATAGGAAGCTTTATTAATCTGTTCAGGCTGCTATAACAAAATACCTTTGACTGGGTAATTTATGAACAACAGCAATTTATTGCTTACAGTTCTAGAGGCTGGAATGTTCAAGATCAAGGGTCAGCAGATTTGGGTGTGATGAGGGCCCATTCCTCAATTTCATCTGAGAGCTCATCAAAATGGTCTTTACTATCCATATTTCTACCAACATTTTGATCCCAACCACTTAGGTAATCTCTAAAATAATTGAAGATTTCTCTGCAGCTTTTCTCTTCTTCTGAGCCCTCACCAGAATTGCTCTTAAGGCGCATTTCACAGCAATATACCTTAAAACTCTCCTAGCCTTTACCCATTACGTAGTTCCAAAGTTAGTTTCACATCTTTAGGTATTTGTTACAGTAGCACCCCGCTTCTCAGTACCAATTTCTGTCTTAGTCCGTTTGGTGCTATAACAAGATACCTTAGACTGGTAGTATATAACAACAGAAATTTATACTTCACAGTTCTGGAGGCTGGGATGTCCAAGATCAAGGCACCAACAAGTCTGATGTCTGGCAAGGGTCCGCTCCTCAGATATGGCACCTTCTATGGGCCCTCACATGGAAGTAGGGGCAAACAGGCTCCCTCAGGCTTCTCTTATAAAGGCACTAATCCCACTCATGAGGGCTCCACCCTTGTGACCTAATCACTTCCCAAAGGCCTCCCTCTTAATATCATCACCTTGGGAATTAAGTTTCAACACATGTATTCCAAACAAACAGTCAGACCATGACAGAAGCCCTCTGATAGGATCTCCTAACCTGCTTCCCAACTTACGAGTCAGAGGAGCAAGCTCAAACATTCCCAGCCTTCCCTCTTTCCAGTCCCTTGGCTTGGCTTCTGCTGCTATTTGTCCCGTTCTATAACATCTGC